TCCTGCAAGTCCACTCTATGTATCTCTTCATCCTACTACCCACGCCTGAGGATCAGCTCCTGTCAAGACTGCTTTGCTCCTGACTGAGGGAGAGCAAGGAGGAGTTAGAGTGCCATTCATTACTCCTCAGACACAGTGACAACCCTGTCTGCTCATGTCCAGTGGCCACAGCAAGTCACATGGCCAAGCCCAGTGGCAGAGAGGTGGAGATGCCCTTACCTCCCCAAAGAAGTACTCATTGCAAGGCAGAAAATACTTGAATATTTAGGAGTAAGAACACAGCATATGCATACACAGTATTTTTCTCCGCTTTGAACGTTTTGTAACTATCACCAATTAGGGGGTCTATGGACATTGTTTATGCTTCCCATGTGTTCTGTTTTATCCATTGCTATATTTTGAAAAGTAACAGAGATTGTTTACATGTTAATCTGGAGGATTATATTGGAAACATATATGCACATGAGAGGTTAGACTTGTTACCTTCATAGCCAATGCCGCAGTGCAAATGGTTGAATTTATGACCTCTGGAGTGAGCAATGGACACCCAGTTTAAAATGCTGCCTCTGGGTAAGTCTATGAGAATCTGTGTGTGAGAGAGAGTGGAAGTAGTAAAATAAGTTCCTTCCTATTGTGAGTGGGCATTGTGCCACCCACTGAAGGAAGGAGGAAGGTGTCCCCTTCCCTAATTCTGACCTTGGACAGGGATTTACATGCTGGCTTCCCTGGGGCTCAGGCCTTCAGGTACAGACTCACACCCCTGCCTTTCCTGGGCCTCTAGCCTACTGATGCAGGTGACAGGTCTTCTAGAGCACAAGTCAATTCTCAGTTCTGTTTGTGTGGAGAACCTTGACAAATACAGTATTCTAGAGGAGACAAAGACAACGGTAGAGAAGTAAGATGGGTGGGGGACAGAAGAAAGGAAAAATTGGCTCTCTCCTTTGGAAGGTTCCTGTACTGTGTTTTAATTTTGGTTGTTTTTAAATTTGGAATACTTGGAGTCTGTAGCATATGGCAGGTTCGTAAATGAGACTGCTAAAGCCTGAGAACATTCACAGTTCACTCAGCTGTCTTTGAGAACACTGTACAGAACTCCTTCCTGTTGGGGATGTCAAGCTTATTATCCCCTGTTTCTCAAGGAAAAGTGGAACAGCCCCTCACAGTGTGTTCAGACTTGGTGGTCTTGAAATGTCATTGATGTTAGTGCTTCCCCAGGGTGGGAGAGACAGGCTGGTGCACATTCCCTAAGGTGGCTTTGTTATCACCTAGCTACCCACACGTTTCCCGAAGGTGGCTTTGTCACCACCTGGCTACATTTCTCAGCTAGCTTGCAGAAACGTGGTAAGGTATCTGTCTAAAAGGTGGCATGGAATATTTATTTCCTGAGGAGGGCACCTGCTTGGGAATCCATGTAGTATATTTGCCTGAGGAAGGAGGCGACCTTCCAAGTTTTGGGAGATGGAAATGCTGAGCTGACTGTGGTGTCTGGTATCTCTTGAACCTCCCCCCCCCCCCCCCCCCCCCGTTCCATGTCCTCTTCTTGAGGATGTACTGTGGTCAGTTCCTGTTCACACATTTTTACACCAAGTCAAGCAGACTTCTAATGTGTTGGCCATAGCCAGAAAGTTTAGAAGGACTTAACCTCCACCTCTTGGCTCCAACACAGGGCTCACAATCAAGTCAGAAATAAGGAAAATCAAACGGGGCCTTGGAGTTCAGGATGGGGTCACATGGCAGAGGAAGGAACAGGAGCTTTCCAAGCTGAGCATCATCAAGGAGTCATTGAGTGGGTGGGACCTCTGAGGAGAAGAGTTTGCAATGCACAGTGAGAGCCTGCCTGGTCAGATAGATGGACCTAAAGGCGGGGAGCTAAGGTGTCAGAGACTATTTACGTAGGGCTTAAGGTGAGGTGAAGGCTAAATTCTTTGTGCCTTCTATGCGATCTAGCTTTATGCTGGCTCTCTGCTTTTGTAGGCTTTTGTCCACCCCAGGGGATGATTTAGAGGCTCGGGAAGATGGAGAGATGGAGATAGGAACCCTAACATAAATTTGACTACAAACAAAAAGTTGCTAAACCTTTGCATAGCACTTGAGTGCCATGGTTCAGAAAGGAGAGGGGTGTTCCACTTCTGTAGATGGTATTTGGGGGTTAGTGGATTGAGAACTATAAAAGATACTTTGGGATTTCTAGAGGAAAAAATTGAACAGTCTGAACTGTTTGTTACCTTGTAATTTCTTGGATTTTAAAAATATTTTTTTAAAGGAATTACTGTTAGCCCAGTATATGCTAAGACTTTTTATTATAGGATCTATTTTGCTTACTGTAACCACGGAGTCAGTAAATCACAATTTTACATTTCCCCCCATAGCTTGACAGCTGGCCTGTTACATAAAACTTCCTGCTCCTTCAACACAGAGACAACCCACCAGAGACAATCCATGTTAGAATCTGTGTTCCAGCATATTCTGTGCCTTAGTCTTGAAATACCATAGTGCTAACTTACACATTTTATGCCTTTGTATGTGAGGAATAATAGTATATTACTTTTTGTAACACATCACCTACCTGTCCAGGCACTAGATAACTTTGTTGTAGGTGCTTTTACTTATCCTAATGTCCTCTGGCATGTCCCCTAGATCATTATCACAAAGCCAAATCCTTAGACTCTCTGGCTCCTAGCATGCTTACAGTATGCCAGGAGATCTGACTCTGGCCTGGATCTAGAATCAATAGGGCCAGCATGAAGAAGCCTGGCTGAAGATTCCTTTATTTGCAAGTAACAGAAGTATCTCAATCAATAGAAGGGACTCTTTATTTTGCTTTCCAGGAAGACAGTTCAGGAGTTGGTTAACTGAGTTGACTCAGCAGTGTCCTCTGGGGTTCAAGTTCTTTCTGCCTCTAGTCAGGCCTATTCAGCATGTTCTCTTGCAGTTGTCAGGATGGCTGAAGCACTACCATGCACCACTCTTCTTATAACAGTAATCAAGGTCTGGAAAGTATAAAGGTGGTCTCTCCCCCACAAACACAGTACTCTTTATCTCTTATAAGGACAGAGAAATATCTTCTACAGGCTTCTGTTGTATGGCTCTTCTTGGGGAGATATGAACAAAGGTTTATCCCAGATAGGGTACCAACAAGAGGTAGTGAACCAGTGAGCTTATTAAGGTTACTAATGAGATCGTGGGTGACTAAAAGGCAGCTTCATCACTCAGAAGCCCACCCTACATAGCTGTTGACTCACAGAGGCTGCATTCCTGGGGCTCCCTGCACAACTTGCAGACAGCTGCACTGGATGGAGTCTTTCTCCAGCATTTGCACACTGCATTATGCAACCTCGAGGGATCTCACGAGGCTTCTCAGGCTGGCATTTTCTGCTTTGCAGTATGTATCTCATTTCTACCAGGTCCTTTCCTGGCGTGACAGCTCATTTCTTGTTAGCACTGAATGACCTTCCCCCACACCCCACCCCTGTTGCCCAGATGTGTCAGTAGACGTCACTGTTTATTTACTGAAGGACATCTTGTTTGCCCCCATACTTTGGCCGTGGTAAATAGAGCTGGTGTGACCATGGAGGATTAGATGTGGGTCTATAGCGATGTGTTTGGTGGGGTTAACTCAAGATATATTTTAATTCTGAGCTTCTAATTTCAGAGCTTGCATTTTCCCTTAGAAGGTCTTTTTGGCAATCTCCTTTGACAACATTCCCTCTTTGGTGCTTCTACTTCAAGTTTTCTCTTGTACCCTTTGTGATTTTAAGCATTTAAGAATGTACTTAGAGTCTGTATCTGCTTTGATTGTCTGAAACATTCAAGAGTCTGATATCATTGCACATTCTCTGCTGACTCTTAGCCCACCTTTGCTTCTGCTGGATGCACAAAGGATGACACAATTGAACATTAAGTTTTATTCTCTCGGCTCAGGATCTCCGTGATCACACAGCTATTGCATATCTGAATCCCTACTCTGAGTGAGCATTGTCCTCCTCTCAAATGATAAGCTTCCTTTCTGAACTAGCATAGGCAGGTTTCCTAGGTCATCCCTTCACTGCCTGCAGGAAGCACACATTCTACACTTACGGATGTGTCCCGCACCATGTGTCCCTGTTACACAGACTTTATAGCTTCTGCTGTGACCATTATAGCCAGTCCACATCTTTTTGAGACCATCTTGCTCCCAAAGGCATTGAAGAGTCAGCACCTATTGTCTACTCTGATTTTCAAATTATTTTCCTATAACACCCACCCAGGGGATTTGCTACATCATGGGCTCAGCTCATGAGAGCCTATTTGTGAACTTTGTTTAGCATTTTGGGCTCCCCTATGGGAAGACATTTTCATGTTGTTTGGTTCTCTCAAATTCAGAAATAGAAGTCTTAATGGACACTTCCCATACTGTTGTCATATAGCAAGAGTCAATAAGAATTTACTGATTAGCGTTATCAGTATCATTGCCTTTACAAAGTGTAAACAGTTTGGTCCTAATATAGTATAACATTTTGTGATAACGTGCCCATCAACAGAGGGTGTTGTTACTGGATGTAGTGCTATGTAAACCACACTACAAAAACCTGTACAGTCTGGGCTACACAGAGAGTTCCAGACCAACTTGAGTTATAAGACCTTATCTCACCTTATTCCAACAGCCATAGAACAGAACCAGCCAAACAAAATCCTCCACACAATCTGACTTTTTGCAGCAGATTTAAAAAGCAAAACTGAGTGAGTCTCCCTTTCTCTCTAAAACCTCCATTTATAAACTCTTCTTTCCTTCGAGAAAGGAGAAATGTCCATGGCTTTGCAGCCTTTAAGCAGTGTAAGCTGGATATGTAAAAAGACACACACACATGTACATGCATGCACAGACATGTTCATGCACACATATACACACACGCACATATCCTTCCATATATAACGACACCCTTGACTTTTAGTTGGGTTTAGTTTTCTATTTTACATGATGTTTTATCATCTTTTTGTTTGTTTGTTTTTGCCTTTTCCAGGAGGATACTTCATCGAGACTTGAAATCAAAGAATATATTTCTGAAAAATAATCTACTCAAAATCGGTAAGATGTTTTAAATGTCTGCTCTGAAGCTCCAAGCAAGTGCTGCCCCAGCAAGCAGAAGTGTGTGGTTCGAGCTAGCATGGAAGTTATCCAGCCCTGGCTTCTTTAGCCTTTGTAAATATTTGTTCTTACCTAGATGAGACCAACAAATTCTGGTTATTTTGTTTGTGGTTATCTGATGCAAATTGAAATATAAAACACTCGCTCCTTACTGGTTGATTTAACAGGTATGCTATATAATCCTAGGCTTTACCAGGCACTTTGTAAGCTATAGGTTCCTCATCTATTTAAAAGTTTTTATGATTTTTATGTGTAGAGGCCTTAGGCTTGCATGGATGTTTGTGCACCACATGTATGCAGTGCCCATGGAGGCCAGAAGGGAGCATGGGATCCCCTGGAACTGGCGTTAAGCTTGGTTGTGGATTGTGGGTGCTGTGGATTGAACTTGGGTCTTCTGGAAGAGCAGCCAGTGAGTGTTCTTAGTTACTAAGCCATCTCTCCAGATCCCCTCACTTACTTTATCAATAAATAGAGGCCATACATAATTTAAATGGTGCTATTATGGCTTCATTAATATTTAATTCTTTAGAACTATACTTGAGCTCAAATAGTTACTCAGTTATCTGAGCTTCACATAGGATATTCCTGGGAAAGAAGAGAATACAGGTATGTGACTAATTAGAGAAGCCAGTCGATTCAAATTTCTGTATGTATATTCATGAACAGTTTAAATTTTTAGAAAAGTTCCCTTTGTTGTAAAATGAGGTCAAACTCTACTCCCTGCAGGGGAATTTTCATGTCTTTACTTATAGTCCATCCAAAGCCTCTGTTGGTGATCACCAGAGTTCAGTGGCCTAATAACAGGTTATTCTGGGTTTCTGTAATCCCAGAAATAAAGGTTCTGTGGTTAGATGATTCATTTTCCCCATTAAGTCTTCTTTCTCCTCTAAAGCACGTATGTTTAAAGCTACTGACCACCATTATATAATTGAAAACATCCCTTGCCTTTCCCTTTAAAATGGCACAAGGCACTGAATAATAAATGATGAAGTTAAATCAGTTTTAGTTGTTAATTTTCAGAGATGTTTTTGTTGCTTCAAATATTTACACCAATTAACCACAATTCCCAGGGGATTTTGGAGTCTCTCGTCTGCTAATGGGTTCATGTGAGCTGGCTACAACTCTAACTGGAACTCCCCATTATATGAGTCCTGAGGCCCTGAAGCACCAAGGCTATGATGCCAAGTCTGACATCTGGTGAGTAGGCGGTGCTGGCCCCAGTGACTTCCTTCTCTGCTGTCTGAGAAGTCTGTCCGCTCTGGTTTGAAGCTCATCCGCTTACTCCATCCACTCACTCCATCCCTTTTGGCATTTGAGTTGTTCTGCAGCCAGAGGGACAGGAGCACATGCAGCTTGTTACACTCTGTGAAATGCATTTCAGAGATTCTCTCTGTTCATAGATGATGAGTTGGCTGGTTTAGATTCTGTCGTTCCCAAACCACAGGGGAAAGTTCTTAATGTAGCCAAGACATTAAATTTTGATGTGCTCCGGCTAGCCTATTAAATAAAGCATTTGTAATCCTAAAGACCATGCTTTATTTTATATTAAGGTTAACTCCTGGCTCTGTGGGGAATATGCTGCTTTTCTGCATTTTAAAAGACTTTTACTAAAGATAGTGGATTTAGGGGTATCCTACATTTACCGTTTTCTGGGTTTTCAGTGATGGAGACATCTGTGATGTTTTTCACTTCTGTGGTGCTCTCCTATCCAGGCAGAAGCTAGGTGGGAAGACGCCTCAGTCTGTCCTGCTGTGAGCAGCAGGCCTTACCCAGGGAATGCTGGCCCACTTTGAAAGGACCTTACATAATTTTCAGTATTCAAGAGTTGAAGAACAATCTAGTTGACAGCTTGTTAATTAAGTAAATAATTATTATATGCAAATCAATGTTAAGTAGTTCTGAGCCTTCAAAGACAAGCAATGTAAAAGCATGTCCATGTTTGTTTTTTAAAGATGAGGAGGTAGAAAATGACCTTTTGTGTGGTCAGGGGAAACAGCTCCCACAGAGCCATTGGGTTAGGGTCCTTGTAAGAGTTGTCATTTTTCTGTTGACTTTAGAGCCTCCCATGGCAGAGAAGATGTCTGTGGGACTGCATAAGGGTATCTTGGTTCATGGCTGGGCATGGGCCTGGAACCCCAAGACTCCAAGGGAGAAACGGCAGGTGTTCGGCCACGTCCCCAGAACCCAGGGTCCTAACACACAGTCTAGTCCCCATAGACCTAAATTGTTCAGTCACGTAAGCCATTAGAGCCCCTCCCAAAGTGCACAGGTAGAGGGCGTGACTACAGGCCTCGGGCCTTAGAGAGATTTACATACTAATGAAGGCCAGAGGGCGGAGCCAATTAAACATTCTTCCCAAGACCCTCCCCTTCCTCCCTCCCTATTTAACTCAGGTCTGCCCTGAATTTTGGGTGGGTACATCCAAATCCATCTAACATCTGCCATGACAATAAACCCTTTTGGAACCAAGGACTTTCTTGTGTCATTGGGGCCTGCCGTCGCCAACGCTTCCAACCTCTGGAACCTTAGACTTTCTCCTGTTTGTGGGACTCGCTGGTTGTGGAAAGTCTCAGGGACTCTGCTATGGTCTTTTTCTCACAGATGTCAAGATTTGTTCTATCTCCCACCTTCCACGGAAACCACATCCCTTCATTTCAGTTCTGTGATTGTTTTGAGAACCTTTGCTGACTCTTGTTCTCGCCAGAGTCTCTTATCCTAGAGGTCCTATCCAGTTCATCTATCACTTTCTCTTATCCTTTCCCATGTGCACACCAAAGTAAAAAAGAAAACTTGAATAAAAAGCAGAAAGGGGCAAAGGCATGCCACCAGGAGCAACTGTCTCTACATTGTTTAATTGAGCACTTACTTTCCCCCAGCACCATGCAGTAACCTAGATATAAAAGGAGTAACATCTGCCTCTTGCTCCTTGTGAAGAACCTTGCTCCATTAATGATCCTTCTCCAGAGCAACTGTATCAGTCCTGGGCTTTGCAATGGCAGGTATTAGCTACCTACCTACCTACCTACCTACCTATCTACCTATCTATCTATCTACCTATCTACCTACCTACCTACCTACCTACCTATCTATCTATCTACCTATCTACCTACCTACCTACCTTTCTTCACACTTAATTTGAAACATGTTATGGATTATAAAATAGATTCAAATATATAATGTCTTTATGACTTATGATTATGTTATCTAAAGTTATTGTAGTGTGCTATTTGATTAAGGACATATCAGCTCAGGAAGCTATTGTGTAAGTTTCAGGAATGCTGTCTGGCCATATACCTGACTCCTTTACCATGCATCTGTACCTGTTTGCCAGCTCATAAGGATGGCTCCTGGGTCACAGAAGTAGTGGAACCCCGGAGGAAACAGAGCTTCTTCTTCACTCCTTCTGTGCTCCAGCCACTTGTTTACAAATTGCTCCTTATATTACATGAGAGATTATAAGAATATCAAGCAGTATTCCTGTGGTGGTTTGCAGCTACAAAAGTACCTGACACGAACAAAATCTATCCCAGCTTTAGACCAGCTCCCCTACTGTGATTATAAACTACTCAGCAAGTATGAGCTGAGAATGTATCATCATCTTGACCCCAAATAACCACTTTATTATGAGTTTAGTAATTACTTTGCTTGTATCTAAATCAAAACAGGCTTATCTGGTAATGAAATTTCAGCTGCCAAACCTAAAGTGGAACGGAAATCGGAGAACTATTAATTACGGTGACAGATAGAGACGTGTGCCAAGTGATCTTAGGGAGACACTCAGGAAAATTAGATTTCGTGAGGCTGAGAACCCGTCTGTACCTCGGAGCGGGTGACATCTATGTCCCGAGGAATGTTTGTGGGGACTGGGAGTACGTATGAATAATTTATAGATGCTTTGCTTGAGTGTTCATAGCGGAACATGCCATATTTATAATGCTTAAAAAATTAGTCTAATGCTGATTGCATTTTCATCCGTTAACACTCGCCCGTATGCAACCCACCTTCCTGTAATCTATTAGACATACCTAGATTTGACTATTTATAGCATTCAAGTACAGGAAGTTGCTCTCAAAGGACGACTTGCTTCTAAAAGTTGATAAACACTTATTTGGAAAGTTACAATAATAAGGGCCACCAAGGACAATGCTTTGAATACAACTGGTGTGTATAAGTGTTTGCTAAAAAAATGTTTTCTCCACAGGAGACATATAAACATGACTTGTGTCCCTCAACCAGTTCTTCAAATTGATCTAAAATATAAATAGTTAGCACATACTTTTCAGAAGAAAAAGGACATTGTTTTTGGAGTGATAGTTCCCTAGTTGAGCAGAAATGAAGCGGTACCTTACCGTCGCTCTTATTTCCTTTGTGAGAGTCAACTCGCCTGCTCTCTGTTGGAGCCGTGTGTCTGTTGGGTGTTTTAAATGGGGAGAACAGTGGTGGGAATCACAGTGGTGGAGTCCAGTTTATGTTTAATAATGGATCCAGACTTCAGTGGTCTCAGAAGGCAAGCTTAGCTACAGGTGTACTAAAACATAGAGGGGCCAGGACCTATCTGCTCTGCCTGGCCAAAGGATGTATCCTTATTGGAGAACAATAATTTACCTATGCCCATTTCCCTATAAGGCATTCCAAACCCAACATCCTGATGTCTAATCTATACAGGAACCGCTCTGGTTAAGGGCAAGTGAAACCGGCCTTTTGTACCAGCATTTTCTTCAGCAGCAACTCATAAGGCCAGAGGATGTCAGTTGCTGGCACAGGAGCCCCTACTGATTTACCTTATGTCTCTACTTCTCTTTTCTTCACCAGGAAACTACACATTTCTTCCCAGCCTATTTTTAGTCAGAGGGGGCTTCAGGTTAAACTACTCTCTGCTCCAAGGTTCTCCACCAAGGTTTCAGGGTGTAGATTGTGCCCAGAGCAAATGGGTATTACCTAATGCCAGGGAACAATCAAAGGCTGTGCTGAGCACCTCACTGTAGAAAAGATTTCACTCCCAATCTTTAGAACTGCCCATGTTACATTGGCTGAAGCAAGTCACATGGTAAATCTAGTATCACCAGGGAAGGACGTGCCCACCCACACGTGAAGGGAAAAGGAACACATGGAGAGAACAGTCACCCTACCAGAGGACCCATCTTATAAGGACACCAGGCTGGGCTGTAGCAAATGTGCTGGAGAGGGGAGGTTGGGACAGATGAAAGAGAGGTAGATTTTTCTTTAACCTGGCACAGTCTTCTACTCCTGATGTTCATTCTATCTTAACAAGCCCTGGGAGCCTGCATAAAACGAGTAAGGCAGTTGGAGTCATAGCCATGATCTCCGTGTGAAGCAGTTTGAGTCTCATTAGCAGTGGGGCTGTTGCCAAATCCTTAAGGCAGCAGTGGAGTAGATAGCTGTCAGGAATGGACGGACTTACTATTTGTTATCAACTTCTCTGCCATAGGTGAGCGCTGTCCACTGTCCTTCCTGGACCTTCTGGTTTATATCAAATGCTTAGGTCTGGCATCAAGAATATCTGAAGATGAAAAATAATTTCTTTTTCTTCTAGCCAGTTTTTCTTGAGCCATCTTTCTTTCTTGTTTCTATTTTCCCTTGGCTATTGGCCTTGATCTTTCATTGATCAAATTCCTGTAGAGGACATGGTAGTACCACGGGGGTCTAGAAGGGTCAGATCATCTTCAAACTCTAGAAATTATGGAAGAGAGTATTTGGGGCTTTTACAAAAAGAAGAAAATTCATCTAAACCCCATTTTTCTATAATTGTTTATGTATATGAATATATATATTCATATATATATATATATATATATATATATATATATATATATATATATGCTTTTTCTTGATGACACCAGTTTCAAGTGCTCAGTACCCCCATGTGGTTCTTGTTTGCTGACATATAGAGCATTTCCTCAGTAATGGGACTTCCATTGGGTTGTTCTGAGCTGCTACCCACTCAGCTACTTCAGGCTTTATCCTCATCTTTGTACACATCCTGCCTTGGGCTTGAGAAACCAGCCCCTGCTGGTTTCAGCTGCCAGTCAGTCAGTCTCTCCCCCACTGCTCACCCCCCTCTGTTATTTATCCCCCTCTCTCTATCTTTCTCTGTCTCTGTCTGTCTCTTTCTCTCTATGTCTCTGTCTCCTCTCTCTGTCTCTCTCTGTCATTCCTCATGTGTCATCCGCTTCATA